AAAATGCCCATCAATGATACACTGGACAGGGAAAATGTGGCACGTATACACCATGGAATACTATGCAGCCATAAAAAACAATGAGTTCGTGTCCTTTGTAGGGACATGGATGAACCTGGAAACCATCATTCTCAGCAAACTGACACAAGAGCAGAAAATCAAACATCACATGTTCTCACTCATAGGTGGTTGTTGAACAATGAGAACACATGGACACAGGGAGGGGAGCATCACACACTGAGGTCTGTCGGGGGGAACTAGGAGAGGGACAGCAGGGGATGGGGAGTTAGGGAGGGATAACATGGGGAGAAATGCCAGATATAGGTGATGGGGAGGAAGGCAGCAAGCCACATTGCCATGTATGTACCTCTCCAACAATCTTGCATGTTCTTCACATGTACCCCAAAACCTAAAATGCAATACAATATATATTTTTAAAAAAGAAAGAAACCATAACACATATTCACTTTCCTTCACCTGCTAAGGTATTAATATTTTTCTAATAAGCATGAAATAGGGAATATTTTAATACTATTTCTAGCTTTTCTTTGCAGCCCTAGAAATAAAATGTCCCCATTACTTCCTAGGGTTGTTTCGCTCTCTCTCAGTTAAATTTTGCCAAACTCATAGGGGTGAGTAGTGAAAGCAGCACGATATGCACTGTGAGCTCACTTGAATGCTTCCCCCTCAAGAGCAAGGATTGCTTTATTTATCTTTGTATCTCCAATTCCAGGCAAGGTGCCTTCCCCACTGTAGACAAATAATCAAAACCGCAGGAATGGGTTATTAAACAGATAATGAACTTGAGGTTACAGATTTGTAAAGCCTGTTTGAAAACTGTAAACTCCAATCGCTCAATGAAATTGGAAAATAAAATGGATGACCTTTATCAAGATAATATCTAAAGAAAAATATTCTATGGAAGGTTATTTCATGTACTTTCTTAATGTAATGGTATCTGCAGAAGTGAACAAAGCAGGTAAAACTGAACATTGAGTTGGATTCAACAATTATCAGATAATTTACTAAATATGAGACATTGTGATGAAACCTGGTTATTTTATAATTAAGATTTTTTTATGATAATTCATATTTTTAGTAACAGTAATTTGCATATCCAACCGGCGGAAAATAAAGCTTTGTCTTATGTAAAGAGGGCAGAGTAATCTTACTAAATCTCAACTCCAATGAGGTCTATTTTCCTGCTAACACATCTAAAGGCTTCCTATTGTTGCTATGACTTAAACTGTAAACTTTTCACAGTAGACTTGGTTTTTCAAGATCTTTCCCTCATCACTACTTCCTACACTACAATCACATTAAACTTCCAGTCATTCTCCCCAAATATTATGCCTCCATTCTCCAAATCTAGAATGCCCTTTCTCTGTCTAGTGACACTCCATTCAATTTTCAAGACACAGATCAAATGTTCCTGAGGCTTCTGGCTCTTTGAGGCAGAGATAGCCGATCTGATCAGTGCTGTGTGAGGGCTCCCAGCCAGGTACCTGTCAATCTCAAGCTGTCGTTTTTGCCTCTATCCAAACCACAAAATCCTCAGGTCCAGTGACAGCTTCCAACTTTTCTTTGTTCCCTTTAAACATAGCCCTGTAAAAGTCTGTTTACTTCACCTTTTAAATGGTTACTGCTTTGCAGTATAAGGTGTCTTCTTTGCATTTTCCTCCTAAATTACTCAATGAAAAGAATGATGGAAATAACAAATATTTAATTATGTTAGCAGTTTATTTCATGTGCCAAATACTGGATTCGGTGCTGCATAGATAATGGTGGACAAGACAGATGTTCTTACCCTCATGGAAGCTGCGCTCAGTGAGGAGAAACACAGCAAAGAAGTTACCCAAGCAAAATAATGATAGCGCATGATGAGTGATATGATGGAAGAAGTTCGGGTGTACGGTGGAGAATGGAGGGAGTGGTGAGGAAACATCAAAATAGTTGAGGGGAGGTCTTTCTCAGACAGCTGATTGAAAAAGAGTCCAGAACTGTGTTCATGCATAAGTAAGAGCCACTCAAATGCCCTGGGGTGGGGACAAGCTCAGTGTGATCTGCAAAGAGCAGAAGGCCAGTGGGCTGGAGTGGAGTGAACAGATGAATACTGACCATAGATAGAGGGGGGCAGAGTGACAGGGATTGGACAGTATCAGTCCCTGTCTACCAAAGCATGTCCATTGAGTCTAAATGCAGTGGAACCTAGCTTTTAAGCCACCAATAATACAGTTGAAACTACATGGTATTAAAGTTTGTGTTGTAAGACATTATTTACTTATTTAATGATAAAAAATTCTGCATATCTATCTGGACAAGACTTTCTCACCGGTTTAGTCTTTACTTCATTCTCTTCTCCACTGGGGGGCTCCAGAGATTGTCACCAGCATGCAGTTGTCACCAGCATGCAGTCCAGCCTTTCAAGTACATTTCTTGTCATCTTTGCATTTCCCCAAGAGCTAGCTATGTTTAAGATGGGAACACCAACAAGAGAGCATGAACAACTAAATAAATCAGAGATTAAAACACAGTCAGCTCTGTGAAACTGTTCTGCATTTGACGACCTGCATATGAGACACAGTAGGAATCACTATTTTTCTATAGAATCTATGATATGCCATGGCTTTACATGAACAAATACATTAGGACTGACTAGTTTTATTTTAAGCAAATGTGACTAGTCCAAAAGAAGACCGATTTGGAAAACAGACCTGAGAGGTATTTAGGAATAACCTGGTGGCCTGCTTATTAAAATGACCTTAACTGTTGTCTGTCAGTTTCTGAGTGTTTACTCTGTACTGCCTAGCCCTGTGTTAAGTGCAAACATCTATCTATCTATCTATCTATCTATCTATCTATGATCTATATAAAATCTCATTTAAGCCTTCATTAATTCTAGCTGATAGAGATGACCATTGTTCTTTACTGAAATTGGAAAACCTGGATTTAGGGCCTTTAAGTGACTTGGCCAACATCTCAGATATATTATTGGTGGAGCTGGCATTGAAATGGAAGAATGCCTGACTCCAAAGCCCTGTACGCCAACCAGAACACCAAATTAAAGGGTTTTCCATAGAATTCAGTTCTAGTCTCAGCTCGCTTTCCTGCAGTTTCAATTTCCTTGATGATAAAATGAATATTGCTTTCTCCTCGGGAAAAAAAAAAGAGAATACAGTCCCAGTGAATTTGTAGTGCATCTCCAATGCCATGAAGATAATCAAAATGTTTTATCAAGTCCCAAGTGTCACACAAATGAAATGTATTTTTTTTTTTTTGGCCAGGTGCCTGAGTTTTGCCTTAAAAAGAAAGCCCTCTCCCAAAAATGAATTCCTTAAAAATTCTATTTTTTTTCTAAACTTGGGTGTGTTTAGCTCTCTTTTGCAGCTTGCCCCTAATCCCACACCAAATGTTCATTCATAGTATCTAATCCTCTCTCAAGTTTTTCGTAAGGTGTCAGCAGCAGGAGGTGGCAAAGCAACAGCATGGGGGGTATGTTTTTACCCAGCTCTGCCACCACCACACTGGGCAATTCAGGGCAAATCTCTTCTTCCAGACCCCAACCGTAAAGTGAGCAAGTGAGCTAGTGAGAGTTAAAGGTTATTCCAAGTTTTAAAATACAAGGGTAGTGTGTAGCCCATGACTGAGATGAGAGAGAAGAGGAAAAGGGCTAGCTGACAATAGAGTTATCTTGTAGTTTTCCTTTAAGTCCATATGACACTCTTAACCACAAGGTGACTACTACCACTCCAACAATTTCAGCAGCTATGTCGGGTTCATCAGGCATTATCCTAGGATCTGGTTCCAAAAATGTTAAACAAAACCAATATGATTCCTTCACTCTGTGGAACTTTACATCTCCACCGATCAAACAATGGAAATCTGAAACAGACATGTCAGCCACAGATGCATTTTGTTTGACAGCCGTTTGTTTGTTTTAACATTTTAAAATTTTGTCCATGTTTAAAAATAATGGAAGATTTTTAATCCAAAAGTTCTTGTTTCCAGCTTCTTTTGAAAAATCTGAATAGTTGGCAATGCTGAGCTGGCATTTCCACATGGCAGGGAAATGTGGAGCTGAAAAGAAGCTGTCCTCACCCCACCCCAAGACCAGACCCACACTCTCCATCGACCCTGCCCACAGTCATGCACTGTCATCATGTCATAGGCAACCTATGCGCCCAGTCTGCATAGGCTTATGTGTGTGTGCCTCTTGGATTAGAAACGGAGACAATAAAAAAATTATTTCAATCGTGTTGACTATTACAAAGAGCTTTACGGGGAGCTGCCATGGACAAGAACAGAGAAACTTCCAGCAGTACTGTCTTCATCTCTGCCCATCCGGCCCCCACCTCCACGCGCAGGTGTCAAGGTCAACTAAGGTGCCTGGGAAAATTGGGGGCTGGGAGCCAGGTGACCTGGGCCTACCAAAGGTTCTCTCCACCAACTGTTATGCTACACTGGACAAGTATTTTCCGTCTCCGTGTCTCAGTTCCTTCTTCAATAAAACAGAAAACAAAATCTACCGGCCCACAGTCCTTAAAGGGTCTTTCCTCTTGGGATCCTGTAAAAATTCTCATCCTTCTCTTGGTCTCCCGTCAAAACCCCGAGGGAAGTCCTAATGGCAATCTTGCCTCTCCCCTTCTAAGATCTGCAGGCTGGGACCCGCCACCCCCAAGTCCACCACCTCGGTGGCGCTGGCTGCGTCTCTTCAGGGGAACCCGAGCACGGCCCGCGAAGTTGGTGCGCACTCTGCATCCTGGCGGCTCCAGATCCAGCCCAGGCGCAGCGCGACCCCAGCCCGCAGCCCTCTCCTCCCAGGTCGCCCTCCCAGGGTCCTTGTCCAGCCTCCGCCGGCGGAAAACGGACCCCAGGCGACTGGCGCTCACCCAGGCTACTACCCAGCCGAGTCTGGGGAGAGCGCTAAGTGGGGACGCCTGCTGGCAAGCAGCTCCCGCCTCCCTCCCAGGCCGGGGAGCCGCCCCTCCCGGGGTAGCTGCGCGCTGGGCGGCGCTCGGACCCCTCGGCAGCCGCAGGTGCCCGCCCCAGCCCAGCCCAGCTCAGTCCGGCGCAGCCCAGCCCAGCCCTGCGCTCGCAGCTGCCGCCGCTCCGAGGCACAAAGGTGCCTTTCCTTGCTCCTGCTCCTTGCTCCTTGCTCTGGAGTTCTTCTCTTAGCACCTGCTCCCTGGTTGAAAGCATCGTTCCGAGCCTCAGGGGAGGAATGAAGGAAGAATCGAGACTAGGTGAGTGGTGATCTAGATTTAACAAATAATAACAATAAACCAGCATATTAAAGGTCCTGATGGGAAGCTAGGAAGTTTAAGGAGAAGAGAAGACAAAGGCTGCTTATCAGGATAACTCACAAAACTAGATGCGGGCTGGGACCAATTCTAGCTATTTTGCACACCACCCAGTTTCCCCAGCCTGGTACTGACTCACGTGCAGACCCAGACCGACTTCAATAAATATTTGCTGGGTTGAGATAAGTGAGTGGAGGTGTTTCTGCTTGTTCTCCAGCATCTAAACAAGCAAAAATTAGCTGCCTTTGATGACTGACTTCATCTTCACCAGGACATTTTTCCCCAGGACCGAAAAAATAAAATGTGTTGTATTCACACAACGGACTGCTATGCAGCTCTTAAAAAGCTGAGGTCAGAGCTGTAGGGATCGGCATGCCTGTACCTAGATTTCAGAAGTATCACGGTAGATAGATACAGCAAGATACAAAATATATTCACTCTATTGTGCCATTTAGGTGACTTATTTTAAAACACTTGTCATGTTTGTAAAATCGTAGAACGGGTACTGTAAAATGTATATCACATCCCTGATTGTGGCTGTCTTTGGAAAGTGTGAAAGGGAAGTCAATTGGACATTAGGATTAAGATGGAAAAAATATTTCCCTAAAATTTTTTAAAAATGAAAATGATGATGTAAAGAAGACAAAATATAAACAATTGTTAATTGAGACACTGTTATTCACTTGGGTGTTTTTCATGGTTTTTTTTTTCTTTCTCTTATTTTAAAACATTTATTAATCTAAGAAGTTTTGTTTTTCAAATGCAAACAAAGTAAGGTGTGTCTATGCACATGCCGTGACAATGAAATCTAAAAAGTTCAGTCAAAAGTTGCAACTTTCTTGCATCACCCCCTATGTTTTCCAGACCTAGAAGACCACACCTCTTCACCTAGGGAGGCTTGGTGGTTACAGAAGCTTACCTGTTGACAGCCCCCAAAAGTGCAGGCAGAAGATGAAATGTCGGTATTAGCAAACTAGTCCCCAGTTAATAATCTGATAATCGGCCAGGTCAAGGTAGACTCTGAAAACTCCCTGCATCCCTGCAAGCCAAATTTCTCTTTGTTTTATATTTCATATGCTTTGAATTTTCATTTTCATGGATGGTAGCTGTCCTCTTGACATCCCAAAATGATGCTTAGGTAACACTGCAGATTTAGTGCCAGGAGATCAGGAAGGGTGTGGGGTTTGGTGAAAGAGTCCTACAACTCTACTGGGCTGTGTTCAGCAGAGTGCAAAGGATATGTCTCCATTTTCCTGCCAGAGAAAGTTTGATTTCTTTCTAGATGTGGAAAAAAAAAATCTAATTTGGTTATCCACATGGGAGAGAAAATGAAAAATAATTTTAAACTGGATTGTGTATGTTAGGTGCAATGAAGAAGATACTAAACCACCACCCAGTAGTTCCATCTGCTTCCCCCTTCCCCAGACATACACAAAAATGGTTCCCTGTTTGCATATTATCTTCCCACTAAAAATCACTGGGTCTGTGGTGAACAAAATTGTCTGCGCATCAGAATGGAACTCTGAAACATGGAAAATTGCTATAATATTCCTTCGTCTTTTTCTTTCTGATTTGACAACTTGCAAGGTCAATGCTTGGTGCATCTCAATGTTGCAGGACGACAGACTACTTGAAAAAGCTGAGGTGTGAAGAATGATGTAAGAATGACAGGACTGGGGTGCAGTGTGAAAACTACATGTACTCAGGTTTTAAGCACAAAATAAAATGAGAATGTAGTCGCTGCCTGCAGTTAACAATTGCAATTCCTTAAAATCAATGTTCCCTTTAGGACCATTCATCTCTTTCTAGTGCCATCAGTGGTTCAGTCCTTATACTTTCTCTCATTTGGATTTTAAATGCCATAATAAAGCACAAAGGACACCTCCATTTGCTTCTCCCTAACTCACCATAAAAAGTGCATCCCACTTACTTCTCAACTCCCTTGTCCACTGGAGTTAAAGGCCTTTTTTTTTTTTTTAACTTGAAGAAATAGTTGAGCTCTATCTTCCTGGATCTCAATAATTCCACCGAGCTTTCTTCAGCCACCTGTGGCCACCTGCCACTGCTCACTTCCTCTCCCATACCCTTTAATTGGTTGCTTTCTAATTGCTGACTCTCTTTGCTCTCTATTAATGATTCTTGTTAAAGTCCATAAGGCACTTTGCCAGCAGTTGGCTTTTAATATGAAAAATGGCATTTCCTTAATAAATCTGCCTTCAAAAGAATGCTTTACTTACATTTTCCTAATGGGAAAGTGAGCTTTTCTTCCACTTGCTTAAGGGGTTCCTCAGTTCTTTTTCAATAACTCATTCTTAACACTTTCTTCAATTCTGCCTGTAATCGATACTCCCTTCACATGTAAAGAGCTCAGGAGGAAATCAACTATTTTTAAAAAGACACAATTAGGAAATTCTGCTACTCTTAGAAATAGCAGGAGCTGACATTCATTCCTTGCATATTAAGTGCCAGGCATTGTGCCAGTTACCTTACATACACTGTCTCATTGTCTGCATCCATGACCATGCTTGTGCTAAGCATAGAATTTCCCTAAGCCAGATAGCTGAGCAGAATTTTAAAATATTATTTTGTGCAAAATCTAGAGCTTTACCCGTTCTTCCGGTAGATCTGAAGATCTGGGCCCATGTTTCCATGTGGTGACAATCTGTTTGATTTGAGAGCCATTACTTTGTTTGGATGGAGCCAATGTCATCATTGTCTGCCCGATGTGCTAATGTTAAATGTTTGGTCTGGCTCACTCATTTGCATTATCTGCCTGGCTCCTATAAGGATCCCAACTTGTCACTCCTGAGATAGACACTGTTATTGCCCCCATTCTAGAACAGAGAGGTTAAGTGACTGGGTCAAAGACTTTATCAGTGTCAGTTTTAGGATTGGAACACAGAATGCTGCCTCCCTTTACCATTATGTTTTAAAGTGGAGCAAAGCCATAAATACTTTTTTCAGGATTTTTTCTTGTTCACACATATCATTTAATTTGAGCCTCTTTAAATTTAATTTAAATTTAATTTGAGCCTCTTTAAATAGAGCGGCTAACAGTTTTGAACACTTACGCTATGAAACTGCTTTATGTATTGAGTTAAATGTATGTATGTCATACATTTATGTAATACATAGTTCAATATATAGTTATATATATAAAAATGTATATAACATACTTAAATATGATATAACAGTTATACATACATGTGTATTATTTAACTTAATATATAATGAGATAAGTATATGCATATTATACATTTATGTAACTCAATACATAGAGCTATATGTTCATAAATACAACACAAAGAGTTATATATATGCATATTACACATTTAACTTAATATAAAAGAGTTAAATGTATGTCTATCACATTCAGCTCTCCATTGAAGAAACGACCGTTATCTTCTCCAAGTTCAGAAGAAGGAAAAAGAGAAACATACTGAAATTCAGCAATTTGCTGGTATAGTAAAGTCCAACCCACAACTTTCTTCTTTTATGTCATAGTATCTTGCAGGGCAAGCAGAAAGAGATAGTTAATGCACCTCTACTACTAAAAAATAAAGTTTTGTTGTTGACCACCCAATAACAAGAAGAAAGTATAAAATCAGTGTATTTTCTCAGTAATATTTTTATTTTATAGTTGTTGAATAAAGCATTGCTGACTTAATTTTTAACTTTTCTACACATTTTGAAAAATACGTTGCTTTCCTCCCATTTTATAAGTCTAGGTCTGCTACTGATGACCCATGCAGTGTGTTCTCCTGGTGCCTGAGGTTTTTATTCTGAAATCATGGTTTTCAAACACAAAAGTCTTCATTACAGTGATACAGATGAGGTTAATGTTTCAGCCACAGTCTGTACTCGGGGTGCCTAGAGTATACCATATTATTAAGATACTATTTCTTTTCCTATCCTAGATATCCAACTAAGGCTTCAGGACATGTTTTGAGCAAAGATGGGTGTTTCTGCCAGGATAGTATAACTCGAGGATCCAGGACTAGGCAGATTCAACCATGGGAGCCAACACTTCGAGCAAACCGCCAGTGTTTGACGAAAATGAAGAGGGTAAGAAATGTGGGATAATGGCATGTAAAAAACAGAATTTTGCAAAATTCAAGTATACCCTTCTAGTTTCATAAGTAAAGCATGATCATGGTCTGTAGGACCTTGAAGGAAAAAGGCAGAGCTGCATGATTAAGCCTGAGAACTTGGTAGGCTCATAGTTAGGTTTTACCTTCCACTTTCCATGGGACCTTTGGCAGCTTTCCTAATCTCCACCATATCAATGTCCTTTGTCCAAAGGGAGCTACGGTTGGACACGTGGTAGATAGTTAAATGATTTGTTTGTCCTCTGTGCTGTTCCTTGGCAGTTGAAGCTACCCCTATTGCTCATTGTTATAGAAAATATATTATCAACATATACATGAATGATAACCAGTGCTCATAATATTATAGAATGAAGCTGTTCCTTCTGAATTTCCAACTGCCAAGCATTTGCATACTAGGCAAATCCCATAATGCTATGTCATAGAAAAAATAATCAGTTTTATTTAAGGAAAGGGAAAGTTTCCAGGCCAGATTCATCAAGACAAGAGAAAAGGCATGAGTCCTCCTGATTCTCCCATCAGTGAGGCATGCTGGCACTGGGCAATGCCTCCTCATGAGACCTGTCCTGTCTATATGTAAGTATGAACGGCATTGGCATATGCAGGTGGCAGCTGTTTATAGGTTGTCTGGGGAAAAAAATGCCCCAGGCCCCTGGTAGTAAGTATTCCAGACCTCTCTGAGAGGGAGCTCTTTCAAGTAATTCCCAGAGAGCTCTGCTCATTGGAACAGGGAGGAAAAGAATGTACTGAAATTGAGGAAATCTGAAACCAGTCCTACTACCAGTTACTTGTTAGGCTCAAGCAGTTTATTTACTGACTCTATCTTCAATTTCGTTATCGATAAAGTGAGGCGATAGGTTCGTTCCAACTCAAGAAGTTTATCATTTTGAGATCCTAAAGCAACTTTGTGAATTCTGAAGAAGCTTCTAAATCATCAAGGAAAGTTTATTGTGTTAGAATGCAAGTTTAACTGCTGAAATGGAAACTACAAATAACAGTGGCTTAAGCCAAATGGACATGTTTTTCTTTCTCATGTGACAATCTAGGCATAAGTAATCCAGATGATGTGTGGTTCCAGCCAGTTAGGGACTCTGATGCCAACTAGCTTGCCTTTTTCCTTACCTTCCCATTTCTAGAGTGGTAACCTCAGGGTGGCTAACCCACCACACCAAATTCCAGCCAGTGACAGAGGTGAAAAGTCGGGGAGGTTATGCCCACTTCTTTTAAGGATTTGCTCTGGCTTGTCATGTTTGTTCACTTCCACTTACCTACATACAATTTCTCTTGTATCTAGGTAAGTGCAAGTAAACAAAAGGGAAATTTAGTTTGTTGTCTTGGGTGGCCATGAACCTTCCAAAAATAAGTAATTCTGTTTTATTACCAAAAAAAGGAGAATTAGCAGATTGTCATGATTGGGGACAACTATGCCTGCTGTAGTTGGGGTCAGCAATCTTAGTTTTGAATCTTTGGATGGAAATTCTTTCAAAAACAAAATATATGGCTGATCAGGATGTCTCGTTTCAAGCTATTCACTGTCAGTTTGAAGGCCCATCCTTACTATTTCTATGAAACAGTTCCTAGGAATTTTGAAATTATATAGCTAGAAAGGGGTCTTAAGAAAACTTCTTCTCATTGCTGTTTTTGTTGCCTTGCTTTAATTTATCAAACAGTAAAAGCAAAGATCTAGAGACTAGTGATATTACTTGATTTTACTGTCTTTAAAATGGAAAAACAAGTAGGCTTGCTCTTCATTTATTTGGTTTACTCTTCTTCCTGTGGACTCAGAGTTAATGTTGAACATGAGGCTGGTCGTCAGAGAGTGGTGTGGAAAAGAGAGGTCAGCTGCATGCTTTTAACTTGCTAGGGCTATGTGTCATTTGAAGATATTAGGATAGCATTACGATGAGGAAACACAGAAATGCCTAACTCTTCCTTGACTCAGCCAGGTGTTCTTCCTGTGGGGTGCACAAGAAAGCTGCATATCGAAAACATTGTGATAACTGATAAATAAGGGACCCCCCGCCCCCCGTTTAGTTACCTTAAGGGACTCTAGGAAAACCAGGTTGGAGGAGTTAGGCTTAGGGACCAGATACGTCTTTCTTAACACCCTCTAGGTCACCACCTTTTTGTTGCCCGGCTTCTTAGTCCAATGAGATGAATGCAACAGCCATAAAGGGAAGATCTGAACACAGCAACAAGTCTATACTTCCCAGAGATGCTAGGCTCTCTATCTGTCTACGCACACAGTTGTCAGGCTAAGGAAGTAGGAGGGTAAGTCCACCTACTAGAAACTCGTCACTCTCTAGACATGAGGAATAGAGGAGGAAACAAGACGGTCCTTGCTCTGTCTTTGTGAAGCCCATGTTCTGATGGTGGAAGGGTGACAATAAATAAGTAAATAATGCATAAACCAGACAATTTCACAGTGCCTTAAAGTGCCACCAAGGAAATGACTTTCAGTGATCTTACAGAGAGTGACAGTGATGGTGGGAAGGCCACTTTAGATAGGGTGGTTGGGGTTGTCATTTCTAAAGAGGTGACATTTGGGCTGAAGCCTGAAAGATGAGAAGAAGCCAGCTATGAAATCACATGAAAAGAATAGTTCAAGGACAGGAAAAACAAGTCCAAAATCCAAATAATGACAAAATTGGGATTGAATAATTGCCTATACCTTAACATTCTCTCATGAGCACGAGTTTGTCAAAGAGACTGTATTTATTGCCGTATTAACTTATCTGATTAAAAGATCATTGAGTTTTGAGAGAAAAAGTCTGCCATTCCAGGAAATTTACTTTTCTTTAAAATTCAGTACATTTCATAAAGTTCATTTGGCTCTTTGCATAAATCTGAATTGAGCACAAGGTAAGATTTTATCTGATTGCTGTGAAGCTGTGAAGCTTCTGACCAGGAAAAAACAACCAAAAAACACTGACTAATCAGAGAACACTAATGCCCATGTCATTTTGATATCCATATTTTTATATACATAATCAAACTGGGCCAGAACCAAGGGCACTAAAATGAGCCAAATTAATTATTTTAAAAATACTGCTGAAAAGAATCCAGTATGTCATTTAAAAAAACTGTTTAATATTTTCTTCAAGCTGTTTAATATTTTCAATAGATAGATATGAGAATAAAGTTTAACAAATTGTCCCAAGTAGTGTTATAAGAATTCTATCTCATGGAAAAAGTGTTTTTGTTCACTTTGAAGGTTATTAAGGAACAAGATAAGATGTTATTGGATATCCCTTGAGATAAGCTACTCTTGCAAGAATTCATCCTGACACTTGTATTTCATGTTGTTACATCTGATATCTGATATTGAACACATCATTTTATTAGTTACTTATGTTCATCTTTATTCAGTGAAAACAAAGTATAAGATTTACAGGCGGGATCTGGTGGCTCGCACCTGTAATCCCAACACTTTGGGTGGCCGAGGCAGGTGGATCATGAGGTCAAAAGATTGAGACCATCATGGCCAACATGGTGAAACCCTGTCTTACTGAAAATACCAAAAAATTAGCTGGGCGTGGTGGCGTGCACCCAAGTAGTCCCAGCTACTTGGGAGGCTGAGGCAGGAAAATCACTTGAACTCAGGAGACAGAGATTGCAGTGAGCTGAGATGGCAGCACTGTACTTCAACATGGTAACAGAGTGAGAATTGCTTATTTGATTACTGTAGGTATCTTTCATAAATTAGATCTCAAATCATACTATTGCTTTGTTTTTTGGTTTTAGCATTTATATTTTAGGGCAAATCTAAGTCCTAATTATTTTTTTCATTATTGTGGTAAAACATATATAATAAAATTTGCCAGTTAATTATTTTAAAATATATGGTTTATGACATTAAGTACATTCACATTATCATGCAACCATCATCACTACCCATCTTCAGCACACTTCTATCTTCTCAACTGAAACTCTGTACCCCTGAAACAATAACATCTCCATTCCATCCCCTCCCCAGTCCGTGTTAACAACCATTTTACTTTATGTCTCTATGAATTTAACTACCCTATGTACCTCACATAAATGGAAGATATAATATTTGTTCTTTTGTGTCTGCTGTATTTCGTTTATCATATATTTTCAAGGTTCATCCATGTTGTAGCATGTGTCAAGATTCTCTTTCTTTTTAAGGTTGAGTCATATTCCATTGTATGGATATACCACATTTTGTTTGTCTTTTCATTAGTTGACACTGATTGTTCTGACCTTTTGATTTTTGTGAATAAGTCTGCTATAAACATTGGTGTACATATATCTGTTCAAGTCCCTGTTTTCAATTATTTTGGTTATACACCTAGAAGTAGAATCACCGGATCATGTAACTCTTTGTTTAACTCTTTGAGGAACCATCATACTGTCCTCTGCCTAATTATGTTTTGTGTTTTAGTAATGAGGCACAGCCTGGCATGATGGGCTAGAGTATTGGAAAGGCATACACAGGTTCAAATCTCAGCTGTGTCACATGTCAGTAATCTACATGTTTCTATGAGAAGAGTCAAAGGGGGTATAGCCTGGTTAACCATTATCAGACACTAGAGTAAATTTGACTAATTATAAGATATTCTAAGGAAACTTGAGATGCTGTGAGAGAAGTCTCCAAACCTAAATGATTACTAATGAATTAATTGGGGGGGGGGGGTGAATTTCTATTGTGAAAGTTATTTAACCTTTGTAAAGCCTCAGTTTCTTTATATGTAAAATGAAGGTAATAGTTGGGCATACTTCATTAGGTCTTTGTGAGGACTGAATAAATAATGCAAGTAAAACACTTAGTAAAGAATTGCACATAAAGTAACCACCCAATTAATGCTAATTAAGTGTTATTTACTAACATCAGAGTTTCCTAGTGTGAACTCTTCAAAGTACTTTAATTTCTGAGAGAAGCACAATTGATTAAATGCAGCTCTGTCGATGCCATGCTTGATTAGGCCTACTCATGAT